CTCTCATAAAGTATTTTTCTGAGGTCTGTCTTATCAGGTAAATTACTGTACACAGTGTATTCATTAATTTTCATTTTCATGTAGTAAAGGCTCTATGCCTTCATAAAAGACGTACTTTTCCTTTGAAAAAGGGTATTTGGGCAGTTTATTCTCTGTTGTATTCTCAAGCAAACAATACATACAAGTACAGTATAATATTTTCTGAGGAAACACGCATACTTATCCTTTTTTAACCCCATTCCCGATAACTCGGCATTTTCACAAACTCGGCCACCCTACGGTCCACAGTAGGCTGAGTTTTCGAGGCTCTACTGTACTAGCTATAACTTTAAGTAAAATGAACTAAAAGTTGCACAAAATACAGGAATTTCCAATCAAACTATAAGTGAATCTTAAGTGAATTTGAAACATGGTTTCTGATAGAATAAAAGATACACTTTCTAATAGTACCAAAAAAAAAATATCTAAGATGACATGCTTGGAAATATTTGCTTTTAAAATCCTTTAAGATAAATTATCCACAGGGTATTTTTACTTAATCATATCTCTGTAAATTGGGAAGATCAAGAATTCTTACTGTATGTGTGATGACATCCTTATGAATGATTAACTGGCAAACCAACACAGGACAAACATGCTTACTTTAGAAGTTGTAGGTTACTAAATTATGAATCCAGTTATGCAAAATCAATTTTTACTCCCAATTTCTGGACTGAGAAATATGATTTGCATAGATGAATTCAAAGCAGAATGTTCCAAGTCATCAAATTTGAAAAAGTACATCTGTTTCACTGACTATAAGTTATACAATAGGAAGAGAAAGTAGATTATTTGTTCAACATGCATGTGTAGAAGAGTGGAGTGATCAAAGCCTCTATCTCTGAAAGCACAAAACATTCAGATCTAATATTCTGCATATCTTAGTTCAAAGCTAAGATATTTAAGATATCAAACTAAGATATCAAAACTAAGAATATTAATCATAAGCTCATACTGATTTCAATATTGATCATAAGCTATCTTACCATGAAGTTTGAACAAGATTGGAGGAGGTTTGCACAGGATCCCATTCTAATATCATATTAACCATCTTCAAAGTGAAATCTTGTTATATCCACCATCTGTTTAGAGAACTTATTATAATAATTATGTTAGTCATTTTCCTTATGTTATTAGCATTGTAGGAAAGGAAAAAACAATAAATATTGTGACTCATTTTCATACAAAATAAATTTTGATCTGCTTAGTAATTATGTAATTGATAGAAAAAAATTCTTATTTAAAGTTTTCATTATTTTTTAAGATTTGTAGTTAATATTGGTGCATTATATATCTTTGATTAAAAATACTATACTTTGTAATTTATTTTTCATTTTGTAATATATAAGATTGATAATGTGTGAATATTAAGAATATAGAAATTATAAAAACTTAAATCATTATACTTAATATGACTTTTTACAATTTTCAGATACTGGGAGAGGATTAAAATCTTATGAGGCTATTAATGCCGGTGATGTTTTAATATCTGTACCTTATAATTCACTTATTACTTATGGAACAGTGATGAGTTCTTACTTGCATATTATTTTATCTAAGTAAGAAGTTTTCTGTAATAATATAATTTATACATATATATACATATGTATGTGTGTTTCATAATCTTAAATATTTCTAATGTATTTAGATATCATCAAAGTTTATCAACTATGGAAATGATTTCTGTCTTCTTGATGTGTGAGAAACTTAAAGGATCGTCGTCATATTGGTATCCTTACATAAAAAGTTTGCCAAAAGAATATGTATTACCTGCAGCTTTTCCATTGGAAATTTTGAACTGCATTCCAAAAATTGTTGCTGAAGTGGTCAAACAACAAAATGTTTTGTTGAAAAAGACTTTTAAGAGAATAAAAAAACTGTTGGATGCTATTGAAAATCATTTTAAGGAATTTTTTGGCTTGCTGACTTATGAAATCTTTCAGTGGTCTTGGTTGTCTGTGAACACAAGATGTATTTATATGAAATCTGTAAAGACAAATAATGATTCGCTTAGAAGTCACAATGATTTGGCATTAGCTCCATTTTTAGATTTGTTAAATCATTCACCAAATGTCCAGGTATGTATATATTTTTGATTCTAAGAGTCAAATCATTTAAATGTTAAACATAATTATTAAAAAATATAACTGAATGTCAAAAATAAAAAGTTGGAATAAATTATTTCTTTTACTTTCAAACTTTTTACAAATTGTTTTCCCCCATTTGAATTAAAGCAGCAGATTTCATAAAAAAAGATATTTAATTCTCAGGAGGACGAGGGTTTAAAGTAGGGTGAGTTCTAGCTAGCCATATATTTTTAAAAAATTCAAGTTTTAATTGAGATTTCCGAACCCTCCGACTTAATTAAACGTGTATATAATAAAATCTATTAATTAAAAAAATTAAAAAACTATTGGAGGTTTAAAATACTATTTAAAAAAATTTAAGAAAAAAAGAAAATTTAAAATACTATTGGTTTTTGACATCAGAAAGCAGCTTTAACTAACTTTACCGAAGGAAAATTCGTGCGCTACAACTTACGAACCATGAAATAAAGTTGATAAAAAACTCCCATTAAAAAACAATTAAGCCTTAATCGAGCCTTATCAAAGGCTCATTAAAATCACGATAAAATTTTTTTGCGCGGGTAAAAAGTTTTGAAAAAATTTGGAGACTTAAAAAACATTCCAAAAATTCAAAAAAAACAAAAATTTTTTCGGGGGGCCGAAAGGACTGAGTTTTATGTAAGGGTATGTAACATGCACGAGTTAACTCGGGCGAAGAAGTAAAGGGGTTTTAAGATGGATGGTAATTTTACATGCAATTTTCAAATGCCATTTTGATTTTCAAAAATTTCATTCTAATTGAGTTTGTAACAACAGTTAAATTATACTTTAATAAATTTGATGCCAAGAGCTGTAAAAAATTCAATTTTAGTTTCTAAGGTAAGATAAAAATATTGATTTAAAATGAGACTATTAACTTTAATTGTAAATAGAAAATGTGAAATTTATTGAAATATACATACAAGATTTGAAAATATAACTATCTTTTGGTGTTAATACAATCATTTTACAACTTACTACACAACATAACAAATTCAATTAAAATTAAATTGGTTTACCTCTTCAAATGTAAATGCTTCTAAATATTTCTGTTCTATAAGTACAGTGGTACCTTAGGATACGAAATTAATCCGTTCCGAAACTGAGATCGTATCATGAAAATGTCGTAAGGTGGATCATCTTTTCCCATACGATTACATGTAAAACCAAATAATTCGTTCCAACGCGAAAAACATACTCAAATTAAAGCCAAGTAATACATTAAAAAATATAACTGTAGTAAGAAAAACAAATGAAAAATGCGAACTAATGTAACGCCGTATGGTGAGTTTTTGTTCGTATCGTGGAGCAAAAATATGTTCGAATTTCATGTCGTATCCTGAAAATTTCATATGCTGGGGCGTTCGTAACCTGAGGTACCACTGTAATACCAAAAACAATTAGGGTAAAAACAAATGCAATTTTTGTTGAATCAAAAAATAATAATAATAAGCAGCTGTTTACACCTAACAACACTTTGTGGAGCATGTGATAAAGCTATAAGACTAGTATTTTTAACAATGTCAATTTTATGTCTGAATACTCACACTGGCCATTAAAGAACAAAGTATCGGTTCAAAAACCTCTTCCGCCCATTTGTCTCAGAGAAACCATGTGTTGTGTTGAACATTACACTGAGCTGCAGTTTTGTGTTCTGTTCCATTGAGTTACATAGTGACAACAATAAAATTCATGGTCGATTTACCAAAAACGGTTTCTATCCTTAAACTTTCAAATTTTAATTCTTAAGTTTGATGTATTTTTGCTATATTTTAAGTATAGAGATATATTAAAGAAAATCCAGGGTGGAGAGAAAGGTATATTTGTTGTTAGGCTTTACCAATGTGAAGATATTTTATATTTTTGTTATAGCTGGCCATATGCATCAGTGATCTTAATTACATTTTTATTATTATTTTCTATTTGTTTTAAATTTAAAGATTATTTGGCACAGTTTGACCTATGAAGTCCTTGTATGATTAAAGTATACAATCCAACTCAATCCTAGTTTTGATATTGTTAATAAAATGTAATAATATACATATATCAGTGACTGAGGATTAATAGGAGAATTGATAATTATTTCCTGGTTGCTTTTGAAAGTAAAGATTATGAAATCTTTCCTTTGAAATGATTTTAGTTAAAATAAGAATTTAAATGAAAAAATGTGATTATTCATTTAGTATAAGGAAATCAGAGATGATTTGTGTGTAATACGTGTTCGTTATTAGTTTATAATGTGAAAATAAGATTTCTGCTAAATACTGAAAAGGAACTAATTTATTTGAAATTAGTAAGAATAATAGTTGAATTTAATTTGGAAAACATTTTTAATTGTACTATTTTGTTTTCAGTTTCGAGTTATTGTGAAGGAAATTAGATTTAATTAATTAAATGTAGTCAATTTAGTATGATATGATATAGAGAAAAACATTAACTTGTATCATGATTATGAATTTAAACTTTTGCTAAAGATTATTCTAAACAACACTGAAATATTATTTCATTGTGCTGGATTTTTTTGAATGATTATTTTATATACAGGGTTCAAACGAAAGTCTGAACTCCCTATAACTTTTAAATTACCTTCATAGTGCCAAGGAAGTAATCGGCACTTATTGGAAAGTGATCATGCATAGTACCAAAATTGCCACTTGGAGATATTTTATTAAAGTGGCAACAAAGGACACTCATTATAAACTTTATTTTAATATTATTTAAATGTGCAGACCCTTACAGAAGATGCTGGAAGTAGTGTTCTTGTGCATCTACATATCCTTAAGTATGAGTAATAATGTTCAGACTGAACTTACATAAAATATCCTGCTGATATCACTACCCTCACTGCTTTTGCAAATGCTTCCTTCAGTTTGCATATATTTATGGATTGGTCTCATACACTTTTTTCGTTTTAAATATCATGTATAAAATTTACATCACTATTGTTTCATCATCTCAGTCAGACTGATTTTTAAATAAGACACATTGTATAATAATAAATACTAAAATCATTTTTCATAAAGCAATAAAATCCGTTATCTATATATATAAAAATGAATGTGTGTGTGTGTGTCTGTCCTTCATGCATTACCACACCATTTATCCGATTGCCGTGAAACTTTGGGAAGTTGTTTAATATACTCCCACGAAGGTTTCTGGCATAGTATGATTGCCATGAAACTTTGGAAAGTTTTTTAATACACTCCCGTGAAGTTTTCTGGCATAGTACGTTTACCTACGATAGATGGCGCGTGTGTATATGAGCACTGTGTGTTCGATCGATTTCAAATTGTGAAGACCATTTCCTCCCCTCCAAAAAATATCTCTATATATGCATTTATGAACTGTTATTTACGATATTTGTAATAATTTTTGTTTAATCACTTTATTTCAACTTTTTTTTGCTAATTATGTATTCGCTCGAACTTTGTTAAAACCTTAACTGTATCCCGAACAACTGAAGTCCTAGGAGGAAATTTGCCTATTTTACTGATCTAGGGATCCCCTTTTCCAAATTTTAATATCAACTCAAAATAATTTAAAAAGACAAATTACAATAAAACGGTTTATTATCCAACTATCAACATGTCAAGGAAGAGAGGAAGGAGCAATTAAATAATCAAAATTATAAAGGATTAAAAATATATATATAAATGGGGAATATCGCACTTTTAACAATCTCTGTGTATGTGGGCTAAATTTAAAGAATCCATGCTTCTCACATGTACTGTACAACTGTATGTGGCCAGCTCAGGCGTCGGAAAACCTTCTGATTTATTTGTGTATGTACCAGATGGAAAAACAAAAAATATCGTGTATCCACAAGCACTCCAATAAATAAATAGAATTGAAACGACACTTTGAAATGTTTTTCTGATGAAAATTAATAATAATATAATAATGATAAGTTTCAATAAAAATGATAAAATGTAAATTTAATTTTATCATGACAAGTTTGCTTGAATTTCATTTCTTCTGAGATCGCAGCAATGCGCGACGGGTAAGCTAGTTTAGAAAAAAATAAATCTGCGAGAAATTTCAATTAGAATTAGAAATGTTCATTTTGAGCCAGAAAAATATATCATTTTTATTATTATTATGAGAGAGAGAGTTTTGTGTGTGTACACAAACATATACATATAAAACTCTCTCTCTCAATAATAACAATAATAACAACAACAAGGCAGCTGTGGAGGATAAAGTATTTATTATATCAGTTATCCTCTCTTCTACTGGTATTATACCACATACACTACACAAAAGTCTAAAAGCATTAAATCTTAATAAAAATATATACATGACAATACAAAAAGCTGCAATGTTGATTACATGTCACATTGTTAGGAAGTTTCTAGATGTTGACATACACCAATTACACAGAAGCTTAATGTAACACTTGTTTGGATAGCTATGCTTTGACTTCAGTTCAGCATAGCACTTGGAACCAGTATCAACTGAGCATGACATTTGCAACTTAATAATAAAGAAAATGATACATTTTCTTGGCTCAAATGATATAAATTATATTAATTTATATAAAATATTTAAAATATATATAATTATATAATTATGATGATGTATATAGCATAGTCTTATTAAATATATTATTATTTTCATGTTTTTAATTTATTAACTTAAAATCTTTCAGATTAAAACAGGCCAAACATCATCATGTCACACCACAGTGACGATGCAATGCTAATAGCATCAAGCGATAGTTTTTGGGAACCTGGAAATTATAAGAGAACCACAAAACGAATTGAAGATGGATATAAGTTATGCAATGATCTCATGCAATTAATTCAGGAAAGGAGTGAGATTGAGAAAACATATGCTAAAAGTTTGAGAAACTGGGCAAAGAAATGGAATGAATGTATTGAAAAAGGTATAATTATTTTAAAAAATTTTTCATATGTAGAGAGAACAAAATTACATAAAAACATAATTGAAATCTTAAGATTACTTCATCTGAGATTTAAAATAACATTTATGATGATAAAAATATTCTATACATATATTTTAAGATTAAGATATTTTAATTGCATAGGTAATAGAAATGAAATATATTAACTATCATCAATATTAAATAAAAATTAGTTTTTTATATCAAATTTAAATATACTATTAGTAGTCAAATTAAGTATATTTGAAACATAATAAGTGATATGAATGACTTTTAGTTTGTTAATATGTTATAATTAAATTGTGATGATATACTTATTTAAGAGCATTCAATTAATTAGTTATTTAAATGAACAACAAATATTTTATTCCTTCATTCATTAATTTAAAAATTAAATAATTTGTTTTTTAAATGAATGAATTTTACTATCATCTTACATTTTGTAAAGCATTTCAATGCAAAACATTACTAAAAATTTTCAAATGAATATTTTATTCATATGAGATATCCAAGAAACTTAAAAAAAAATGAAGTATTATTTTAAAATATAACAATAAATTTCAATGTATAATTTCAATAGATTTATCACAATTTGGAGTGAATAGAAAAACTCTAAATGATTGTAATTCCAATAACAGTAGTGATGTCACCTCATAAGTTATCTTAAAAAGTTGGTCATATCCTCCTTAACAACTTCAATAGATAATATATGAAGAAATTAAATACCTTGGTTTTCTTTTTACTTGATGTTTCTTTACACCCCTATCTATGGAGTGAATGGAAACAGTAACTTGTAAAATAGATACAAACATGATTTTTAAGTAGAGATGAAAAGAAATTCTTTTTCATTGCAAAAAAATGTAATTAAATACTTAGGCTTTAGGTTATGCTCATTATAGAAATTATACAGACAGAAAACACTTTTAAAAAAATATTCACATTACTGAAGTCATGGGGAAAACAAGTTTTTGAAGTATGATGAAGAGCTAGTAATGGGACAGTGTTTTCTAACATCATCCCAATATATGAAGTAAGATTTCTCTCACATCTCTGAAAATCTCATTGTCTATGGTATTCTGTAGAAGAGAGTGACATATCCAGCTTATTTAAATTGGCATACTTTGCAACATAGTCTTCTGGAATTCTTTTTCTTCCCATACACCTCCACTACAGAGAAGTCACTAAGTTTTCAAGAGAAGTGTTCTCAATGAAATAAATCAAGACTAATATGGAAACATATTAATAGATATACTTAAGTAGTTCAGAATTATGTTTGTCTTAAAATTTTAAGCCACTGATGTTGATAAACTTGCGTGAGATGAATAGATTCAACCATTTTTGTTGTTTCTATTCATCCTACCAATTCAAAATCATTATATTTCAAAAATAAAGTAATGATTATAAAAAAAGATATTGAAAATGAGTTTCAGTGAATATTTAACCCCTTCATTCCCGATCATTAATTAAATTGATATAAGATTAATATTAAAATACATTAAAAATACTTAAAACTGAAAAAAAAAACGAAAGAAATGCGTTGATTTTGAAGAAAAAGCTTCAAATTTTATTTTCCTTTGTTTCGCCTTTCTGTGAAATTTAACACCGATGAGTCATTGTTTACACAGCTAAGTGACCTTGAACACAGCTGGAGACTGATTTCCCGGGACATTCCCATGTACGCCGCGGGAGGTCGGGTTTAAAGTAGGGTGAATATGAGCGACACGGAAATTTTTAAATATTTTTAAAAAATTAAAAATTTTATTGCGATTTCCGACCCTTCCTAATTAATTAATTTTATATTAAAAAATATATTAATTAAAAAATTAAAAAACCATTGGAGGTCGTTTTTGACATCAGAAACTAACTTTAAATAACTTTACCGAATGAATATCCGTGCACTACAACTTAGGAACCATGAAATAAATTTGATAAAAAACTCCCATTAAAAAACAACTGAGCCTTAATCGAGCCTTATTAAAGGCTAATTAAAATCGCGATAAAATTTTTTCGCGCGGGCAAAAAATTTTGAAAAAATTTGGGGACCTAAAAAACATTCCAAAAATTCAAAAAAAAAATTTTTTTTCAAAAATGGCCTTAAGGACCACGTTTTTCGTAAGGCTATGTAGGCTTGACGTATATATACGTCAATGGAGACTATGGAGTTAAATAATTACTGTCAAATAGACCAATTTACTAGTAAGATTAGCTGAATTTTTGAAATGTATCATAATTAGTTTATGAATGATTACATTGTATTTAGTTTTTATTATTGTTTCATTTTACAGTCACATTAATTATCTATTTTTGATCATTAAATTAAAATATCAGTTTTTATTAATTTTATAATTTTTATTATTATATTAACTTTATTATTATTACATCATTAGTTTTTTTATTATTGCTTTAGGTCCTGAATATGGTACAACTGAAGCAGCTTGGAAAGGAGTTTTAGTTGAAGCAGAACGAAAGTGTGAAATGCATTTAAGAATTAAAGAACGATTATTAAATGATGTCATAACTCAGATCAAACAGTGGCAAAAAGAAAATTATCATAAATCTATGATGCAAATTAAAGAGAAAAAGGAAATGGATGATAATTTTAAAAAGGTAAAAATTTTCATTATTAAGAAGTATGAATAAAACATTTCATTTTATATTGTATCTTAAAAATTAATTTAATAAAAAAGCTAAAAATGGCTAGATTTCTCATTTTTATGAATAATTTATTATTAAAACTCTGATATAAATCATACACTTTTTTTTATAAGATCTACATACACTTTATGAAAAATTTAAATATGAAAATATCTTTGAAATGAAAAAAATATAAAAAATATCCTTAATACATATAAATTTTAAAAAATCAAAATATTTTAATTATTTATAATTGTTTTTACTCAGTTTTACATCTATGTAAAAGCACCTTAACAAAAATACTGCTAATGACAAAAGTTATTGAAAAAAATTCTGTTAGCAATAATTATCTAATTCTGATTCAATTTTCCACTAATGAAATATTTCCAACTGGCCAAGATTTATAAAATAGAGTAGAGTGCTAATTTTAAGTCTGGTTATTATATAAACAAAACATTTGGCTGTTTTCATTTGCCTTTGCCAAATTTTACTCTTTAAAGTAAACAGGTTCAAAAAAATCAATTTTAAGTTTTAACATAAACTATTCAAAAGTTAAGTTATATTTTTTTTTCTTTTATATATATATATATATATATAAAACTTTCAGGATTTAGTAGATGGCTTTCTTTAAACATACTCTTGGCAAAAATGTTTTTCATTATTTGGTCTGGTTTAATGTGTACTCATGGGGATGATATAGAACAGTGTTTCTCAATGGGGGCGATATCACTCCCATTTGGGCATTTTTCCATGTTGAGGGGGCGATTAGTAACAATTTATATTTTGGAAGCAAAAAACAATTTTTTGGGCGATACAGTAAAACATTGTATTAAGAATAATTAGATATTTTATTCGTTATATCGTACAATAATTAAACAAATAGCATTATATTAGTCACTAGTCTATTCAATGCACTACAAATTTGGCGTTAGCCTTGGCCCTGGGCATCGGAATTTTGAAGTGAAGGGAGCGATACTACGTAACAGTTTTATTGAAGGGGGCAATGATTCGTTAGAGGTTGAGAAACACTGATATAGAAGTTTGGGGTATAGTGATGTAAAATGAGAGGGGCAGTGCAGGTATATGACTCCATTACACATGCAGTTTTTTATTAAACTTAAGATTTTAATATAGATGTAATGTTTATTAGCATCAAAGCATAGATCATGTCAAAAACAGAAATGTAAGATTTGGTTTTTTATTGTATCTAACTTTTCTGCTTCTCCACAGTCAAAAAAACTGCCATGGAAAATTTCCACCTTGTGCATGTGATCTCACAGAATTTTTCTCTGCCACTTTACACAAACCATTTTTTGATGTCAGGTCACCATCATAAAAAATAATGTCATGGTCTCTCATGATTGCTGCAAGAGGTGTTCATAACATTGTGGATGTTTGTCAACTATGCAAGATGTAATTTTATGGTCTGTATGTTGCTTGACCTTAAATGTTTGTTTTTGTAACAGCCTAAAGTGCTATGACCATCAACAATTTAAATGCTTTTGCAGGTTTATTTTCTGTCAAATAATAAAGAAAATTCATTTTCTGGTCTTTTTGAGAAATGCCTTAGCCCATGCTATTGCAAAGTTTGCAAAAAACAACATTGTTCTGTAAACAAAATATCTTGTAAACTAAACAACATATCATGCAGAGAAGACACATTATTAGAGTTTTTAGAATCATCAAATTGAAGGAATGGCAACTACATGCATCATAATTGTGTATGAAAAATCAGTGGAAAATTGTGGTCTTTTGCATGTGATCTTGGGTTAATTTCATTAAAATTAACTTATTTGAGAGAACTTTTGGCCTCCACATAAATAGCATTTTGGACAAGAATTTGAGATTGGGGTGGGACAGAAATATATTTTTGGAATCCATTTTTATTTAAAATATTTAAAATGGATTCTTTGAAATGAAATTATTAATTCTTCTACTCTCCTTAATGGTATAATCTAGGAATAATCCAACAGAAAGTTTCACTTTGATTCCTGCATATGTTTTTCAAAATATTAAACAAACAGGGTCAGCCTTCTCCAGAAAGAGGCCTGGGTGCAAATAATTTTTTGGGACCATAAATATTTTTCAGCAGTAAAAACATATTTTCATTAAAAAATAACAAAGAAAAGAAGATTAAAAATAAAACTGGCTCAATATATAAACTTCTGTTACTATTGTTGCCTCTCTAATAACATTTCAAATTCCTCTTTCAAGCAGTAATGTTTAAAGTATTTTAGTGTTTTGTCTAAAATAGATTTTTCTTCAAGAATGCCCATAGTTGTAGTTTGCATGATTTTTTTTTTGTGTTAAGAAAATGATCAAATGTTGAAGTTTGGCTTAGTTTTGAATAAATTGTAATTATTTAAATCATATACATGGAACATCAAAGTATTAATTAATTAATAAAAGAAATGTATTAGCATTTAAGAATATTTTAAAATTGTTTGAAATACAAATTCATAACTATCTCAAGCAACCACTTTTAAAAAACAATGAAAATTAAATTAAAAAAAAAATTGCCTGACTTGAATATTGACATATATTGATATCTGGAATATAGTTGTATGTTTAAAATAGTTTAAACAAAATGAGAAAAATTAATTTAATACTTGAAACATGGTGAAAAACATGAATGTCAGGGATTTTAATGTTAACATCTCTCCCAAATTTAAGGGCAACTCCTCCAAATTCTGGCAAAGCAAGAACAAAAAAAAAAAAAAGACAAAGAAAGCAAAAGGATTAACAAAACAAATTATCAATGGTGGCAAATTAAAAATTGGAACCTGTTTTTATTTGTGCAAAATTTCAGAAAAATAAATTCCTCTTTCTTGATCAAAGTATCCCATATGCTGTAGACAACTATTGATAGCACAAATTATTGTTGTACCATTTTTCAATGTGCATACAAAGAAAAACAAAAAATTATATATTTTGTATTTGATACAATTCATATACAAAATATATGCAGGTATCCCTCATATAATATGGTAGTCATGTTCCAAAAAAGTATCTTGTTATGCAAATCCATGCTATATGAAACACAGGACTAATGCAAAACATAGGGTTACATTCCAGAAGTTAGCAAAAGTATATCATTCTTTTTTTATTACTAAGAGAAATATGTCTGTTAAAGCAATCAATAATTAATTAATAAACAATCACATTTAAAAGTATTATATTACACTTTAATGTTAATTTTAGTTAAATGAGGGCATTTTCATTTTACAAAGTCATTGCAGCTTTTTGGTTGATCTTGAAGTATCAGCAATGTTTTCATATTATTTATTTTTATCATTAAAAAATTTTTTATGGGTGACAAACCAAAAATATGTTACTAATTAAAAATTTTTGTTCTAGCAAGTCATGTTTGTTCAGTCAAGTTCCAAGTAACTTTTTTCCAGAATTTGTGTTTGAGTACTGAGATACCATGTTATTTCATTCATTATTTTACAAATGATTGCTTATCTTCAATACAAAAAAGTTTAATAGCACTTATCTAAAAATGTTTAAATAAACTTTATTCAATACAAAGGTTAATGTATAAAAACAAAACAAAGTGACAGTCTTAAAGGCTAAAATCTGAAATAAATGACAATGACACCTGGTTGATAGTACAATTTTTTCTTCCTTTGTCCTAGGTTTCCTATCAGTTTTCATTAAACCTGATGAAAGGCACAAAACAAATTGAAAATTTTAATATTGTAAAATCCATGGGCAAATTTGAGACAACATGCATGCTTGCTTGAATAAAAAAAAAATAGAATAAACTTAAAAATTGTGTGAATTTTTTATTGAGGATTTCCCAAATCATGTTCGAGCAAAACCAGAAGAGTGTTGTATGGGGGATACAGTAGAGCCTTGATTATCCGACCCCCGATTAACCGACCGTCCTAGTCGGTAAATTTCAAATGTCCGCTAGTGATGTGGCGCTGCAATATTTGGCTATGTCTTGGCTACTTTAATATTATTTTAAGTGTTTTAGCTGGCAACACTCATTCGACCATGAAAGGGAGCCAGTATTTAAACGAGGCTTAATTTTCTAATTTTTAACGATATAATAGTGACGATTATTATTTTAAACATTTTTGTTAGGCTTAACATCGATGAAAATTCAACGCGAAGTAGATTAATAGCGATATGCTAATATACTAATTACATGGGATATAATAATATATACACTAATAATGGATTTTTTCATACTTTTCGGTTATCCAACTTTTCAATTATCCGACCAACCCCAGTCCCCAATTGAGTCGGATAATCGAGGCTCTACTGTATCTCCAATTTTCAAACCATGTTGTACAAGGGATAACTGTATTTTGTATATGAAATGCTTAGAAAAATAAATATTAATTATGAATTTAATGGACAAAGACATTGGACCACAAATTTACAAATATGAATATAAGTTTCAAGTTATTTAGGTAGTGTCAGAAATCAGCGGGATACAAATGAGACTTGTTATTGTGTGTTTCACATCATTAGAATTATTTAAATAAGAAGCAATCAGTATTTATGATCAAGATAAGTTCACTATGCATTTGACACAGCCAGCTTGACTTTAGCATAGACAATTTAAGCCAAATTTACAAAACAAAATTAATTTTAACCAATTAACTTAAAAATTTTCATTTTCTTTCTTTTTTCGCATTTATTTTTTATTTTTCCATTTTTTTGAGGTATGTACAGCTGAGGGCCTGGGTGTAAGATACCCACTGCTCCTCATGGCTGATCCTGCAAACAAAAATGAAATGAGGTGCATGGCATTGAAGTAAGTGTTAAGAGGTGAAGCTTTTTCTGGTAGAAATGGTTGAAGGTGTTCAGGACTGATTTATAGTGTATTCAATTTCATTTTTAAGTTTGTATACAAAAATGTTAACCTATAGACAAGTCTGTTTTACTGGATTACTATAACAAAATAATATATTTTTAAAGCTTTTAAAATATAAAATTTATTAATCTGGAAAATCGATTTTATTTGTAGATTAATTTATGTATGGCTAATAGCCTAATTTATAATTTTAAAAATTTTATTACTTTCAATTGTAATATAAGTTTAACTCTCAATTAATATGTAATTTGATTTTGGATATTCAATTCCTTTTAACTACAACCTAATGATAAAATCATATTTGTATCAAAAGTGTTCTTTTTAGAATAAAAATATTCATTAAATTATTAAAAAATCCATTATGCTTTGTTTGTGCAAAATATACTTCTATTGAAAATGTTTTTGTAACATTTTAAATGAATTCTTTGCTTTTACTAATTTTTTGTACAGTTTATTTCAATTCATTTACATCTATAATTGATTTTCATTTTCATAATTTCATATTATACTTTCAAGGACATGAGAATTACAGTATGCTGTCTAAGAAATACATAGAAATTTTATCAATCAAGTTGCTAGACACCCTACTAATTCAACTACTTTGTATTACCATTCTTCAAAACTTAATCTTGAATGATATTAAAATTAACAAAAAAGCAAATGAGTAATTAACAAACAAAATAATTTTTAAAAACATATATCATGTTGTAGAGATAATTTAATAAAATTTAATTAAGTTTAACACTTTAATGTTAATTTTAGTTAAATGAGGGCATTTTCATTTTACAAAGTCATTGCAGCTTTTTGGTTGATCTTGAAGTATCAGCAATGTTTTCATATTATTTATTTTTATCATTAAAAAATTTTTTATGGGTGACAAACCAAAAATATGTTACTAATTAAAAATTTTTGTTCTAGCAAGTCATGTTTGTTCAGTCAAGTTCNCGTGAGCCGTTCACAGCCCGGCACACGTATTTGTAAAATCTAAGTGACTCGTACAACATGGAATTCATATAAAACGGAATTATCAACAGTGTTATATGGGGTCGACTGTAATCTTACTACTGATTTTACAGTGTACTTCTATATCAATAGAAGGCATTAAAGTCTAGTAAACTGTTTATTAATAGTAAATTTACTTAAAAATAGTAAAATATCTTTAAAATTGGTAATTTCAGGCACAAAAATCTTGGGCAAAGCTTCTTGCAAAAGTAAATAAATGTAAAACTGATTATCATACAGCATGTAAAAATGAACGATCTGCAGTTAATCAGGAAAGGAATGCAACAGGGGATACATCGCTGTCTCCTGACCAGGTATTAAGTGTACGGATATTATTTTATTTATATAGTATAAGTTAGAACTAAGATTTTAACAACTCAAAATCAGTTTACAGCTTTAGAGCATTCACTGATTTAGTTGTTCATGGCCATTAAAAATAAAATTTTTTAACCACTGTATTTTTGCATATTGAGTAGCATGTTGTTTTAAATGAGAGAGACCTGAAATTATCTTTCTCGCATATGGTATCACTTGGCATGCTAGTTTAACTTGGGTAACAGTCGTACAGGTTTCTGCATTTGCTGTATTTTGATTGTTCTGGATGGTTTTTCTGGCCACCCTGCTGATAAACTATGTGAGAAGTATGTATATGAAGGTGTGACTTTTATTTCTCACGTATACTTCAATTCCCAATTTTTAACATAAATTATATTATTCGATTGATTGATGAATGAATAAATAAATGTCATTAAGTTTGTCCCTCTTATGACCCTCTAAGTTATGTCTCTATCCTCTATATTTACCAAGAGTTAAAAATTGAAATCAATCAATTTGCATTCATTTTACTTTAAGTAGCTGAGTTCTGATTGGATAATTTCACCTTTCTGTTGATAGAGCCATCAGTAACCTTACCTTATTATATTAAGATTGCCTTATCAATCTATATAGATATGCCTGGTCTTACTTTCCAAAAGTTTAAATTTCACAGTTTTGATTTTGGCATATACAACTCCCAATCCACAAATGCTACTTCAGAAAAATAAAATTCTGTATACAATACTGATAATTAGCCAACAAAATGAATTATGTATAAGAAGGGTTATGACAATACATTATTAATTTGTTGTTATAACTTAAACCAGGGTTATCAGCATGCTAATCTCCCTTGTTTTAAATTGGCATTCTGGTTAGTGTGTGAAACAATGATACCAATTTCCTTAATCAATTTATATTTTTGATTTTAGAAACTTAGTTTAATTTCAGAAAATGATCATCATCATAATAGATGTTAATCATAACTTGTTAAATTTGATTAACTGAGTTTTAGTTTAATATCAAATTGTGATTGTCAGAAAATCAAGTTTTCTGTTATTAAAGTAATTTCATTTCTGTCTTGTAACATAAATGTTGAATTTTCATTTTAATAGTTATTAAGATAATAAAAATAAATAATTGTTTCAGGTTAAAAAATTACAAGATCGTGTCACTAAATGTAAAGATGATGTCCAAAAAACAAAAGAAAAATATGAACAAGCTCTTCAAGAAATTAATGATTTTAATGCAAAGTATATGGAAGATATGACTGATGTTTTTGATAAATGCCAAATATTTGAAGAAAAAAGGCTTAATTTTTTTAAAGAAATGCTTTTTGGTATTCATGGTTGTCTCAATATTTCTACTGATGCAGAGTATGTTGTATGTTTTTTTTTCTCTTTTTTAGTATAAGTTTTTTAATACAAATGAAATTTTTAAAAATTCATTTTTTTTATTTGCTGTTTAAAGTGGGTGGTTTTAAACATTTATTGATAGATTTGAAATTTAATAGACATTTTTAATTATTAATAAACACTTTCTAATTAAAAAAAATTGATCATGAGACCAAAATGTAAATTGTATGTATAACTCAAATACTGATCAAAAAAAGAAAACATGATTCCAGCTCCCAGAATTTGAATCATGTTTTCTTCACTTAACAATAAACTGAACTGAAATCATTGAGTATCCTGATGAGAGTTGTGTATCATAAGTTTTGTTTAGTGGATAAATCATATATTTAGCATTTACACTGTGATTATTGTTGCTTTATGAAATAAAAGGTTAAAATTATATGAGCATATATTATCTAGTTATGAATAAAGAATTTGAAAAATTCTTCTTTCATAATTAGGTATTGTTTTGCAATTTTTAATATTAATTATATAATTTCATAATACTAAACTATTGATAAGACTATGTTCACATATTTTGATCTGAAATGGATTGAGAAAAATTTATTAATACAAGGTGTTCCTCTCAAAAGTACTGAATTTGATTTGACTATAAAATAATTAATGGTTAATGATTTTATATGAGAGAAAAATTTAACAAATTTCATTGAAAAAATTACATCCTCTTTGTGTGCAATCCAGCACTCAGTGACAATATCAGGACAGTAGACAATTTCAGACTATGTACACTGCAGCATTTTCTGTCTCACAGTGGCGATGAATATCCTGAAGGTCTTTGATCGAAATTGTGTAAACCATATCTTTCACATAACCCTACAGAAAAAATCTAAAGTGGTCAGATCGGGAGATCTTGGTGGCCATGCTGTTGGGCATACCAGACCATGACCTGCACTTTCTCCTGTGACAAAGCCCTTACTGGACAATAATAATCACATTTTGCCTTCTGCATCATTCAGTATGAAAAAAATTCTATAAAACATGATGAGTTGTTGCTTTTATATGTCTTAAACCATCCATTGTTTATAGCAAATTAAAATCGGGTACTTTAGAGCAGAACACCCTATACAATAACAGAAATACAGTCAAACCACTGGTTTGGAACAATTTTGTTTATGAGCAAAGTTTTGAATGCCATATTTGCTCTGGTTCCCTTATGATAACTTGGTTGTCAAACAAGTTACTTTGCATGAGTTTGCCACAGATTAGAGAAACCCAGAGGGCCAACTTCATATTCTTTCTGTGTTAAAGAAAATCAATGGCCCAATCAATCACTGACGGGACTACCAATTCAGAAGTTAGTGATGCCAAGAATGCCTCATGTCATTAGATGTCATGACATGAACTATTGATGACATTGTTATTTAAATTAGGTTTTATGCGCATGCAAGTAAGATACTACTACAGTTTTTCAGTGCACATTGCAGTTGAATCTAAATCAAATTAATTAATAAAAACCATGTTAATTGACATTTGTGTAATATAAATTACATCTATTAATTCATGTTTAAAGGTGTTTAACTCAAATTAAATAAAGTTTATTAATATAATATTAATATTTAATTTGATATTTATTAATACTAGGTAGCTAGTTAATTAAAACTAATAATAATAAAATAATTATTAAAACTCTGGTTTTTACATCTAAACTGAAACTAAAGTTAAAAATAAAATCAAAATTAATTAATTAATTAAATGTAATTTAAATTTAAAGCAAAGCAATTGAAACATAATGTCTCGGAAAGTGTGTATAAAGTAGTTGTCTGTCTTGATTGGTTTGGTTATATTTCATCCAGGCAATCAGAATTGAGTCTCTGTTTATATCACTTTTGTAAAGTGTTGGTTTCAGTTTCAGTTGGGCTGACAGAACATTTTGCTTTTAAAAAATATATATATATATAATAAAAACCTAATACAAGTACATGGCTGGCATTATTCACATTTAATAAATATAAAAAATATAAATACGACTTTACAAAGATAAAACTGCATTTTGTCTTTCTTTTTTGCCATGCACATCATCAGCATCCTTAAATAATTCACAAAACTTCGGAGATGACCTTTCTTTTGAGGCCACTGCCTCCGCAAAAGAATGTAAAACAGGTAAAGTTCATCTTGATTCTGCTACTTTGGAGGTTATTATTTTCACATTGCATTCTTTTGTCTTGGCATTTGAAGAAGCTTTTCCTCCTATTGTCTCCACAGTCTGATGACACACATTGTGGGAGTAGATCCAAAGTGTCTCTTGGCAGCTCTATTGCCATGCCCTTCAGTATATTTAATAACTGTCACTTAAAACTTGCAGTGTACAAAAACTCTATTGACAATAACTCTCCAATACTGGAATAGAATAAACATATAACATACCAATACCACAAACTTGAAAATTAAGAAATATTTACTACCATTTTCATCTGAATACAGAAAACTATTCTACACTTAGCACTGGGGTGAAATCTACACTACACTGTCCAGAACCTGTAACCGGTGCGCTACACGTATACACTGTATATCACTGTTGACAAACANATATTTTATTGTTAAAAAATACATATATTTGTGTAGTTATTTATTATATAATTTAAATATTAGTTTATATTATTATTCTACTTTAATAAAAACAATGAGTGTTTGATTAAATTATTATTTTTTTTATGATTTTCAGGCTTCCACAAATCTATGAAGAGTACAGGCACACAGTACAAAATGCTGATGCAGCTAAAGACCTTAAATGGTGGGCTAATAATCATGGTGTTGGAATGGCAATGAATTGGCCACAGTTTGAAGTATGTTTTTTGCTTTCCTGCCTCTAAAAAATTATATTTTTAAGTTAAATGTTAATTTGTGAGATACTATGTAAAATTTAATATTTTTTTTGAATTAGTATTATAGTCAATGCTAAATTTTATGTATGTTTCAAGTACCACCTATCTCAAAATTTATTTAGCAGTAGTAAATGTGTAATCAAAACTTATTAATTCATTTTTTTAAAAGAAATTTTAAAATATATGTGTATGGATATTACTACTTTAAGTGAAAATATCTGTTTTATTGAATTATATTAATATTTTAGTTTAGTAATAAAAATTTTCTCTACATAAAGTTTATGAATTGCTTGAGTTAAATTTTGTTGTTATAAGATTATTTATAATTAATTCTCAATTTAAAAGCTCTTTTGTAATTTACCGCATTAATTTGCATGTTTAATGCATGACTTGCTGTACTAATTCAATTTTATTTCATAACTGTAAAACATAAGAGTTATGTCATTTTATAAATTAATAGTCACTTATGTTTTAGTGCAATGGTTCCCAATTAGTGGTACGCATACCTCTGGGGGTACGTGAAATTGCATGAAAGGGTACGTGCGGCAATCTAAAATCGGTCAATTTAAAATTTGAATGCATGAGATGAAGCAATCAAAAAAATAATGGGTGGACCGTCAAAAATTTGGCAATTTACAACATGATGTCAAATGCACAAATTCGTTTATTCATAACTAAAAATATTCTCGAAATTTCGTCAAAAAAATGTATTTGTGACAATACCTAAATGAAATTCTTACAAAAATTGTAAGAATTGCAAGAAACAAAAATTGTACAATTAACACAATTTGTGTTAATTGTACAATTTATCATTATTATCATGTCAGCGAAGCGGCAATAAAATATTTACTACCATTTTGCACAACATACCTCTGTGAGAACGGATTTTTGGCCATGACAAACATGAAAACTAAACATCGTCACCAACTTCAACTCGAAGATGATTTGAGACTGAAGCTGACCAAAAAGCAACCAGATTTTACAAAGTTGTTCAAAGAAAATCGGGCCCATTTGTCGCATTAAAATTAAATAACCTTATGTTATTTTCATTATTATTAGAATTGTATTTTAAAGGTAATAAATGTAAAAAAAACTTATTCTATTTATCACTTGCTGTCTACCCAAAGTTTCGCCCGCATTATATCAAATTTTCTCGGGGGAGTAAGATTTTTTCTCGCACTAAAATGTAGCCTATGTCCATGTCCAACATGTAAGCTATCTCTGTGCCAAATTTTATTAAAACCTGTTCAGCGGTTTAGATGTGAAAAGGTAACAGACAGATAGACAGAATTACCATGAATTTATATTATTAGTATGGATTAATATGAATTTCTGCTATAAGGGGTACACGAGTTTGAGCTCTTTCTTGAAGTGGTACGCAGGATAAACTAATTGGAAACCACTGTTTTAGTGCATACATTCTCTTTGGTATCCAACAACAGTTTTTTTTTCAATGACTTGTTAATTAATAGTACTTTTATATAATAGTATATAATAAAATCTAGTTATACTAAAATCCTATGAATTTGTAAACTTACATTAAGACAATAGCTTAACTTTTACAAATATTCTTTTGCACTTAATGAAAATGTACACACTTGAAAAATTAACTTTTCATTAATAAATTTATATTTCTTCCAATCACCAATATATGTTGGTATTATTTGTTGGTAAATTATACAAACTCAGTTTCTACCAAAAGAAACTTCCCTGAGTAAATGTAGCAAATAGTTTTAATTGTAAAATATAAAATTGCTTCAACTGTTTCAGTTAGCTTTCAATAAAACAAAAATTCAAATATTTAAAAGACAATAAAAAAGTTCCATAAAGACTGAAACATACACCTCACAACAGACCTTTACTTGCAGGCCATTGCTGGAGTCTGTAAAGTTAAGTGGAGTCTGTTGTGAGATGTATGCTTCAGTCTTTGTGGAACTTTTTATCAATTGAACTTTTTTGTCCTTTATACTTTGATACAAGTAAAATATTTTAATGTGATGAAGCTCTTTCACAGGAATTTTAATGTTTTTGTAATTTTACCAAAAAAAAAAAAAATTGTTAATTTGACTTGCCTTTTTATTTTTAAGTTAATATGCCTAAAAAATTAAGTATATAATTAGTTATATATTATATATATATATATTTCAAAAGATATAAATTACTTCCTTAATAGTCAGGTATATAAATTTGATATAAAGTCATTAGCAGATTTAAAAATTTTGTTTTTTCCTGAAATTGCCATACTTCATTTAATCCAAATGAATAATTTATATGATAGAAAGATTTTACAGTATGCTATTGAAATAAACTTTTTATACTTTCTATATAAAAATTGAGATCCTGCAACTATTTATTATATGGATTCTTTATACAGTTTTGCTAGAATATGATAAAACCCATGTTTTTAATAAATGAATATAATTATATATATATATATATAAAAAATCAAAATTATATATATATATATAGTGTTCCATTTAAAAAAATTTTTCTATATTTCTTTAAATGATATGATATATGCAATAAAATACCTTTATTGCTGAATGCTGTTATAATAATCATTATTTGAGAAGTGTTAATCTGAATTTGAAGTAAAATTTTCAAGTTTGAAAGTATCCAGTAAATTAATATCTTTTGCAATAGTAATAATGCGTAGATATACTGTAAAACTATTAAATGCAATTATAAAAGATGAAATGTAACAAGGTGTTTGAGGAAATTTATAAAATTATATGAAGTTAAAAGTTATCTGCTTTAGTCTAGTCAAATGATTAAGTATTAGCAAAGAATTAGAAGTTTTGTCACCTGTAAAAACTTAAAAAATTAAAGCTATTCATTAATTTAGAAAAAAAACATTGCTTTGGTTTGGAAGATTCTTGCTAGTTGAAGTTAAAAAAAAGAATTTATTAATCATTTTGATGATGATTTTACAATGAGCTGTTTTCAATAAGATGATGTTCATACACTAAATTGAGATACTACATTGTGTACTGAATATTTTGAGATATTGATTTCTGAAGGACTCTACCATCGGTTCTATTATATATGGAGAGTTTGAGGATTGTGACTATTGAAATTATCCTGAGATCATTGAAAGTCTAAAAACCACTAATAGGAAATTGTATTAGTAGTTTTAAGAAGAGTTCAGTCATGTTGGCATGTAGATGAAAGGTGTTTTTCAATACCTTCTGTAACACATTATTGAGAAACATCAATTTGTTAAAATTGCAATAAATAATGAATTTTGTATCATTATAATCACCTTGTATGTTATATACTAAGAAAATTATTTCCAAGTGCATTTTTAAAGTAATTCTTAAAATGATGACATTTACTGATTGAAATATTGTAATTTTACTGTAGAAAAAGAAAAAATTTTTTAATTCTTATTTTTGCTCAATTTCAAAGATCTTAGATGCATAGAGAGAGATTTGGCAAAATAATGGTTTTGCATAAATTTTAGAACTTCAAAATGAATTAATTTCTTTTTAGCACGCTTCACTGTAGTGGAGAAGTGCTTATGTTAGGACTTTTGACCGTCTGTCAGATTTATATGCACATGTACAATGACTTTACTTTTGTTACCTAAGCATTATGTTTCCGTTCCATTCATTTGATTCAAAAGTTGGAAATTAGGTTTACAACTTAAGCCTAATTTAAGGCCTACAACTTAAGCATAACATTGGAAATTTCTTGCTCTATCAGCAAGAAATTTCCAATGTTATGCTTAGGAGTTACGTAAGTGTTATGTTCCATTCAATCCATCATTGTGCATGTCCATGCACATGCACAAAAGGGAACTGAACATTTTTGTTTATGGTCACTGTAAGCTATATTAAAAACTACCCAGTTAGTATATTGTATTAAATTAAATTNGAATGTTCATAATTATTGTTTTTAAAAAGCAATTAAAAAGCTTCTTTCAACAACAAACAATTGAAATTCTAGAGAAGTGTGTATTAGTGCTGCCACTACTTCATGTAATAGCTATTTGTGGTAGTACTGATAATAGTCTGTTACAAAGACTGTCAGATGAGATTCTGAAGAATTCTGAAAAGTAATAATCTGATATGGCTTTATTTTTAAAAATATTTGATTCAATTTTGTGGAGCATGCTATCAGATAGACTTGACCAGTCTTATTAATATTTTGTTTTTAAAAGATAGCATTATATTAGTAATTTAGTTATATACTAACATCTTGAAACCCAATATATTAGTAATAAGCCAAACAATTGAATTACATCGGGCTACTTTTCCATGATTATTTTTAATTAATTTGCTTGGGTAGCATAACTGGCAACACATCTGCAAGGTAAGCAGGAGTTGAGTTCAAGTTCTACTGCAGGCTGATTCCTTTCTTCCAGATTATTCTAAATTATTTAATTTATAACTATTAATTTAATAAGAGATGGTGCGTAATGCCTTCCTTTATTTATTATTTAGAAACTAATTAAAAATAATCACGGAAAAGTAGCCCAACATAATCTGATAGTTGTTTAGCCTAATTTAGTTGTATACATTTCCCTAAAAACTAATGCTTGCTTATAATTTCTTCTAACATTTAACAATAATTCTTAATTTTTCTCATTTCATGATTACTTTCTAACAAATTGTTGAAATAGCAAACAACCTATATATGTTTACAAACATATATGCATAAACATAGCTTATTCAATATTTTATATAGCAAAAATATTTTGTATTTATTTGCATGGTATATGTGGTTGTTAGAAATTTTTGTTCCTTTATCATTTACTATTTCTGCACTAGTGCTAGCAAAAAGTAGCATTTAAATTGAATTACATAGTTTTTTTCCGAAGAAAAGTTTAAAATTTTTAAAGCATTTTCTTCCCATTTTTATAGGGAAAAGGGTGATCTTTCAAAATCAAAGTTTTGTTGTATTTAAAGATATGTGGTACACATAAAAATATCATTTTAAAATATATTAATTACAAAAACAGAGGTATGATATTAATCGTGCTAATATTCAAGCAAGTCTTCATGACAAAATCATAGTCAAGTTTTGAACAAAATCTGGAAAATTTATTAAAACTATAAAATTTTATATTGAAAATTATTTATAAAAATTGGTATAATTTTTTTATGTAAAAATCTTACAATATAAAAAATTTTTGGCTCACTATTTTTTATACTGTAATTTAAAATTTATAATAAATATTGTGGTATCTGAATTAAACAATGTTTAGGTAGATTGATATATTTTTGTGAAAAATTATATTGTGTTTACTGATGTATAGGATTATTCTGAAGAATTTCGTGAAATAGCAGGGAAGACCAAGAAAGGCTCATTTCCAGAAAGTGGAATTACCTTAGTCAATCAGCAAAGAATTGGAGATGATCAACCAGTAATTTATTATTTATTATTATTCTTCATTCTGTTTCTTGTAGGTGATCTGCTGCACCTAATAACAGCAAATATCCACTGTTCACTAATGTTTTTCTTAAATTCTTATTTTTTATTTTTTCACTTATAGGTGGCGGTTATGAAAGATAATACAAAAATATAAATTTTTGCATTCTAAAATATTTCAGGTTACTTTCTAATTAATTTGGAAGGGGAAAAAAAATTCCTAACAGTTTTCATAAGTGATGGTTGCTATTAAATGATTAACCATTTCTATTAAGATTTCATTATCATCTTTCTGATTTCTTTAAATAGTTGACTTATATGAAATGTTTAATCTATTTTTTTCCTAAAACATTTGTATAAAATTAAAATATTTTATTTGGAATAACTATTTTTTATATAGGAATATACACCAGAACTTAACAATGTTGCTAAAAAGGACAAAAAGGGTCGAAATTCTGAAATAGTTACTCTTACAAGAATAAATAATAAAGGTGAAGATAAAGAAAAAGGAAAAGATAATTCTAACAGAAGTTCTGCTATTAGCTCGTGAGTACAAAATTTTGAATTTTTCTGTACAATCTTAACAACAAAATTAGTTCCTCTCTATGTAGTTGACAGATACCTAATAATTTTATAATTTTATTTTAATATTTAATAGAAAAGATTTTTTAAAAATAGCAAATATAAGAATTGATATTAAATAATAATAAAGAAAAATTTAGACTATGAAGAAATGAAATATAAGTTTTATGTTCTTTCATATATTTGTTCCAAAATTATATTCAATACAATTTTATTCACATTGAAAATAATTTTGTGATGTATTTACTTTTCTGTAATTTGTTTATTTTTTAAATAGGGTTAAAGTTTATTTAGCAATTTTTAATAAACTCTTAACATCAATAAATTAATTTCTTTGAAAATATTTTATTAAGCAGAATAGTTTTATTAAATTTTGTAATATAACATTTTAACAAATTGTTTAAACAAGTATATAAGTTAATAAATATTGTTTTTAAACATTTTACAGTATTATTATTTATGTATTTAAATAAATTTTATTAAAAAGTCATTTTTGCTTTATAATATTTTTGCAAGAGAAAAATTTTAGAAATAACAATCAATTCTATGATGTGTAAGTATACTAACAAATTCCTAAGTAGTTTATTTTGTTTAAAAATAATATAATTAATGATTAATGTTAATTCTATAAAGATTTTAAATGTCATTAAGTTTCATGTAAACATATTTTTATATTCAGAATAAAATACTAAATATTAATGCATTGTTAATTTTTTTATGTAGTTGTTAGACCTTTTTAATTAAATGAAAGGTCCATATCTACATTCACTTGAGATTTAATGAGAACAAAAAATGTATATGTATATGATTATAGTGAAAAATATGATGAGAATACAATAATAGTTAAAATGAATATTGTTATTGAAAACTTGTTTTAAAATTTAAGTGACAATTTTAAATATATATGAAAAAGTATGTGTTTTGAGACAAGTGTGATTAACAAGTAGCTAATTTTTGTAATATGAAGAATGAAGCTTGGGAATAATTTATAAAATGTTTTTTATAAACCATTCTACTATATGATGATTTTTTAATATTTAGAACAGTGGTTCTGGACCTTTTTTATGATCATGGCATAATTGAAAAATCATGCATAAGTTGCAGCACATTTATTGTAAAATATTACAAGACAACAAATAGTTGATCAAGGTGTTATTTTTTTTTAGTCAAAGTTGAATTCTTGTGCCTTTTGTTAACAACCCCATGCTCTTTTTTGATATTATTTTTTAATTTTATATATAACTCATTTAAAGCATTTAAATACTTTCAGCATAATGATTCTGAAGAATTCTGAAAAGTAATAATCTGATATGGGTATGTGGTCAGATGAATAAGGTCGATGACTCTTCCTTTCTCAGCTAATTTTCTAGTTCTCCTGTAATGTTGAGCGGTGTTTGGCTTGGCATTGTTTTGATTGAAGAGAACACCTATTCTATTCATCAAAGATCATTTTCTTTCCAAAGCCAACTTCAGTTAATTCAACTGAACTCAAAGTATATTATTTGTCTTGTATTCCACCAGATAGCAAAATCCTTCCACTAGTATAATCTATCTTGGCTTGAAGTTGAATCTCTGCCCTGGAACTGTTTGTTCCAGGGCAGAGATTCAAGCCAAGCTCAAGGGTGGTCTCCAAGAGTTGATGGTGATCTGGAATGTACAGTTCTTAAAGCTGGACAGAGCAAAATCATACATGGATCGATGATTGTCATGACAACACACATTACATTTAAAAATGTGGCATACTTGTTGGAGCCCTTCAGAATCATTTTGCAGAAAAACATAGTTAATACAGATGTAGTCTAAGTTGTTTTAACTGTGTTTTTAAATTCTGAACTAACAAGAAGGTAGTGAAAACCTGGCAGATCAGTGGAAACATGTAGACTGATGGAAAATATGTAATTGATTAAAATTTGTTTTTCGGTATTTGATAAAAATATGCCAAATTTGTGTTGAAATCAGGTACAAAAATAAGATTCTGTGTGGGGTTGCTGATTTGGGGAGTTTGAAGTCAGACTGGAAAGAGGGGAGAGATATGGGTATGGCAAACACTGAGACAAAACATCTTTACAATTTGGACCTATTTATTTAGGAATGCATTGAAAGCCTACAAGTTTCTTTAGAAATCCTTCTTGGAGAATACTTTAAAAAAATAGCCCAGAGATGCTGCATCATCAATGGATGTTTCCTTGAGTTGTGGGTGCTGAGTATCATCAGTAATTCTGGAGATGGAACTCAGAGGTCGATCGGTAGATCTATATGTAAGACAGAGAAAGTGGTGGGTTGAAGATTGGGAATCAAAGCACAAAAGAACTTTTGGAAGCAAAATTTTGTGAAGTTGGGAGAAGGAAATTCACTTGTCCTTGAAATCTGGGTTTTAAAGAATTTCTCTATACAGTATAGCGTCGTTTATCTGAAAGCCAGTTATCCGAAACATCGATTAACCAAAAGCATTCCAGTTGGCAAATTTAAATTTTTGCTAATTGCTGTGGCGCTGCAATCTTTGGCTATATCTTGGGCTATTCCAATATTTTTTTGTTGGTGTGTGTTTTAGCTGGCAGCACTGGCACTTTTGTGTGTTGTGCTGAATCGAACGTTTTTGATACTAGATCAACTTCTAAAGTTTTTTTTTAATATATTTATTTTGTTTGTAAAAAATGAAGAAATAATTTTTAACGATACAATAGCCACGATTATTATTTTAAAAAGTTTATGTTAGGCTTAACATCAACGAAAATTCAACACAAAGCGACACGCAACGGAGAAAAATTTCAACATGGGATAGGTTAATATATTTTTTCGTACATAATCGGTTATCTGAAAAATAAGTTATCCAAACAACCTCAGTCCCCAATTGATTTGGATAAATGACACTCTACTGTATTATGTATTCTGATTGGTTCCAGTTTTCCTCTCATCATTTCTAATGGTCCCTTCTTTGTATACAGGAGAAATTGGACCAGATCAGGTTATGAGAAAGATTGCTCTTCAATATTCAACTTGACAGTCATCTTGACTCCACCCAAGTGATGATTGGCAAACTTTGAGATTTTTTTTCTCTATGTGCACTATGTTTTCCCTCCTGATACCTAGGAATTTTATTTACTTTGAAGTGATATTTTCCACCAAATTTTATTTCATTTCCTTCTTTCATCGTTTTATCTCAGAGTGTTAGCCAAAGTTTGAATTCCTAGTCTGACTTGTGAAAATTCTGTTACATGAACTTGAGTTTTACTCAGGACCTCATATCTGTATATCTTCTCTAATATCTATATAGTACAAATTTCTGAAGTATTATATGTATTCTTTTAAGATTTGTATTAAAAAAATTTCCTTAATTTTTTAATTTATATTGTCATATACAGAGGTTTCACTGTATATTACCTTAATCATTTCCTGATGTTTGGACTTCCGAGTAGGACATATACCAAACCAACATTTCCCATAAGAAGTAATGTAAAAATGATTAATTCGTTCTCATGTAAAAAAATCCTCTTGATATGGTTAATTAATGGGGTTTTAAAATAATTTAAGCACTGTTTGAGCACATTAAGAATCTACAATAAAATTATTTTTTTATTAAAGTTATTACAGTATATTCTATTACATTATTTAAATCATTAAGTCAAAATCAAATCAAATCAAACTCTCCTTAACCCCTTTCACAATGTTAGCAGATTTAATAATGTCTTTATTTTTCACGATTGTTGATATTGTTGTTCTCGGAATATGATATGCAACAGTTAAATCTCGAACACATATGCCACCTTCATATTTCTCAACAATCTCTTTTTTCAGTTCCATTGTGATTCTAGTCATTTTTTTAGTTTTCTGTTGCTTTTCACTTAGCTTTTTGCAATTCATGATTAATAAAAATAATAAAATTTTACTTACAAATTAAAATCAGAAGAAATTTTAAAAAGTTATAAACCGTGGCACTGCAAATGTCTAGTCTGGTCTAGTACACCGATAGCTCTACTTGTTCATAGATGGCACATATAAGTAAATTAAGTCGTATACCGAGCAAAATTTGTTTCATCCAAACAGGACATATTCCAAATTGGACATATTCTAAAGCAGACATATACCGGCCGAGGTACCACTGTACTTAGAATAGCTTTACACAACCCCAATATGCCTTGACACACTGGTAGAAAACCACTGACCTAAAAGATCAAGTAATGCATATGTGCCAGACAAATTCTGTTAAGAGGATAGTATTATCTATAACATTAAAAATTATTTTTTGTATTACTAATGAGCTAATGTTAATTCAGTTAACAATATTTTGTTTATATATTAAATTTATTGGATAGAATGTTCATAATTATTGTTTTTAAAAAGCAATTAAAAAGCTTCTTTCAACAACAAACAATTGAAATTCTAGAGAAGTGTGTATTAGTGCTGCCACTACTTCATGTAATAGCTATTTGTGGTAGTACTGATAATAGTCTGTTACAAAGACTGTCAGATGAATGAAGCAGTAAAGAAGTTGGTCACTCTGGTAGGTTCTAGTTAGATTCTGGATTGGCTCAGAATTTCTTAGCAGTAGGTTGACCTGGAAGTAATGGGCCTTGCACTTCCTAGCCATTCCATTGTGTGCCTGACAAAACTATGAGAGGATGATTAAAAAGCTGTTTAAAACATTAAAAATGCCACAGTATGGAGAATCAAAAAAGAAGAGGGTTAAACATAGATATTATTTATTTACAGTGATTTCTTATAAAATTCTAATTGTGTGAAATTTACTCTAACTAGCAGTACAATAAGAACTGATTTTTAAGGATTTCTTATGCTCATTATTTAATAGTTAAGATGACAACAATTTACTGATAAATATCAATAAAACTCTTAATTAAATAACCAAAAAAATCAGCAAAAATGTAATAGTTAAAATTATTAAATAATAAAAATTATTTTTTTAAACATTCTGGTATTTTGACTATATTTCAGTGTAATATAGGGGC